TGCGAATGCGAAAAGTCGATGAATTTTGACCGGCTCGAATCGTTGTCGTAGGCAGACTAAATCGACCGACCGCGGAAACTCGCGCTCTGCCGATCTGAATAACAAGTTTTTCTGATTTCGAACCTTCGAGAACTTGCTGTTTGTCACAGTTTTTCATTCTAAGAAGAATGCGATCACGCACCGAGCGGGTGACCGCGACGCTGTTTGTTCTCGCTCGTGTTTTATTTTCTGAGGCAATCGTTTTAATATAACGGCGAAATTTAGAAACGAAATTTTAATGTTTCAATTTTGAACAGTTAATAAACGTAAATTTTCATTTACATTCACAAATTATTTTAAAAATAAATTACTTTCTTAATGATCAAATTATCAATTTCGATATATTTTAATCTTTAAAAAAATCACAAAAATTTTGTTTATATTACTGTACAACTAAAATATATAATTAAATTCAATAAACGATTCGCATATGATTCAAATAATAAAGTAATACGAAAAATATATTTCAGTTAGATTGTTATATTGTACAGCTACACTGCTTTTTCTATACTTTAATTTATCCTCACAATTTTGTTGACAAAAATCTTTACTGTATATCTCTAGAGAGATTTTAATTATGTCCAAGATTTTCTGTCAACACTCTCTCCTCTGTCCTTTTCAATTCTCCAAGTCCGCTCTGCTGATGCTAAATATCAAAAACTGCGCATGCGCGAATAAACAATGACAGCCAGGTGACTTGATTCTATCCCTTTCTAATCGTCTGATGTTTCCACTTACACAATTACCTATGGCTCCCGCCCTTTATTATATTTTCTCTCTGGTCTAGATTTACTATGTCTATGATATTACTAGACCGCTAACTTCTACAAAATATATGGCCACCGACAAGATACTATTAAAGACCGTCAGCCCTAGGTAAACTTTTGTGATCATCAAGTGGGCCCGGTGGGCCCGGAGGTAATTGAAGAATGTTGACATTATCGGCCGATTGATTGGATCGAAGATAATTACACGAATTATTTAATTCATATGGTTATTTTACTTCATCCAATTATTATTTTATTATCGAAAATACGACGAGATATCATTAGAGATCGATGGTCTTATATGATTTAGCATATTACTGGAAAAAAACTCATCATGCGGTACTGTAGGTAAGTAAATCTTTGCATTGTCGATAATAAAACAGTAAACTTACGATAAAATGTTTATTTTGTTGTTCTTGAGGCAGTTATATAAAAGATTTATACTATTTTGATAATAAAACAATAACTGGATGAACTAAAATAACGCGCAGCGAGTTTTTTTTCTAGTCACACTAAATCCCATGAGACCACCGGTCTTTAATAATATCTCGTCGGTGGTAATTGTCAAGGATATATGCATACTTGGGGAAAACAATAAAATACAAGCTTTTCGCATTGTGTTAAATATGTAGAGACAAAAAATATGTTGGATTTCTACTCTATTTTTGTTTTATCGTTTCGTAAAAGCAACGACTTTACACAGATATCTGTTTGTCGCATACATATTTTGAATACAAATCTATAATATTGCTCATATTATCTCTTTTGATTTTATCATGATGTATATATACATATATACAGGGTATATCCTAAAAAGTGGGAAGTATTGCAATGAGAGATTCAGGACACAAAAATAAGAGAAAACATTCATATAAACATATGTCCGATATGACCGTGTTTTCAAGTTATAGCTTGCTTTATTTTTCAACAGAATTAAGATAATTACGGTTACAGGAAGTGCTCAAAATGACTACCTCTAACTTGAATACAGGCTTCAACACGCCTCATTATAGATTGTCTGATTTTTTCAAAAATTCCGGGTATTGCTTGAATTTCCCGGCAACCATTTTCAACAGGTTGACGAAGTATCTCGACGTTGTCAATGGGTGTTTTGTAAACAATGGATTTAGATGCCCCCACAAGTAATAATCGAGTGGATCCAGGTCTGGAGAGCGAGCTGGCCAGGCAATAGGACCAGTCTATCCATCTACCAGGAAACCGTTCATTTGATAACTATAATTGATAGCTATAATTTGAAAACAAGGTCATATCGGACATATGTTTATATGATCTTTTTCTCTTATTTTTGTGTCCTGAATCTCACATTGCAATACTTCTCACTTTTTCCCACTGAAATATCTTAAAATCTATAAGTTTAAGACAAAAGTTATATGATTCACAGGGGGACACATGATGAAAATATGGATTTGACCTTGAATGATTTTTTCAAGGTGAAGTCAATATAATCGATGTTTTCTTAAATGGAACCCCCATTTTTTATTGCATATTCTTGTATCTTATCTCGAGAGTTTTTCAAAACACTGTAACGATGCACCCCCCATCGTTACCCGGCAAGTAGTCCAGCCGGAAGTCTGCCGCCCGGCGAACACCAGCCGGGCAATGGCAGAGACGCCTAGCGCCCTTTTTAATACTCTAATTACCGCCGTTGCGATAAACAACCGTACGGCCGTTATACGGCCGCCGTTACGCCGTTATACGGAAAACCGAGCACGGCCGAATGCTGCCGGAAGATCCCGAGCGTCACCCGCCGAAACGCCGCGTCGTTTCGCCCAGGGGAAGCGACGCGTTTACCGTAATAATTACCCGCCGAAAACAACGCGTCGTT